ACCTCCTTTTGCCTGTCCATGTCCAGGTCCACTGCAGTGCAAGGCATTTAATGATTTGTGAATAAATTAAACCGAAAATCACTGATCTGCCACTTTACAGCAAGCAGATAAAGTGTGGTAGAATGGCAAGGGGCCCAAAACTGAACAAAAGAAATTACAAGGTAAACATAAACACAGCTCTCCCTACTGCTTTTTCTTTGCTCCTAAGTGTCATTCTACAAAATCAACCAAGAACATTATGAAATCTCACCCAATGGGGAAACCTGCTTCCCTGTCACTAAGGCAGTACCCTATAAATTATTTCCTTGAATTAATATCCTTCCTCCAGGAGCTAAGTTATTTTTAAATTCAAAACCTTTTATAGAAATTCCTCACATCCTCACAAGATATTCCGGTGCTTCAAACTCAGCGAATCTTCTGCCTAAAATACCTTATTCACAGACTTTTAAGATCTTAATTACACAGCCACCATGCATGATATCTAGGCCTCCAACACCATGCTCTAAGGCCTGGACCTTCCGTGGGCTCTGGCAGCTGTTGTTTCATAGGATTCTACATGCCCCACTCCCACCCTCAACCCAGGTTGACAGGTCCCCTGGGGCAAGGTGAAGAAGCCATCAGACTTACTCCACAGAATGAAGACGGAATGAAGGGATTCTAGAATGTCAGTCAAGACTCTGTTGACCTCAACTGAGGCTGAGGTGGCCATCGTGGGGCAGCCCTCTTTCTTGAGCCATATGCATGGAGAGGCAGCCAAAGCTAGATGGTGAGTAGATTGCGGAGCAGAAATGAAGAGAACAAGAAGAGAAGCAAAGATGAGGGCCATAAAACTCTGGAGAAAACAATTACCACACCAGCTGTCCTTAGGACTTTCTGGTTCCTAGTTCATGGCCCCAGTCTTCTGTGAACCCTGATCGCATTTCCTGCACTTGCGTCCTGAGACATACCCTGATCTTTGAAGATGCCATTTTTGCTTAAAGTAGCTTGTAACCATGATCAGCTCCCTTGAGTAAAAGATATTCCTGGTATCACATGAGGAGGGTAGGCCACAACTGTTACTGCTCAGCAGCAGGGGAACAAGCCCACCACCTTGCAACACATTTTCTTTTATTCATAACTTATCCCTGTCATCTTTTGTCTGTACTGCTTCAGGAGGACTGATGTCTCTGTTCACAACACAACTCCTGTGACCCCACCGTCCGGAACTTCTCCAGTCAGGGATCCTAACAACCAGTCTTGTTGGCAAATACTTTTCCTGGAAGTAACAGTAGGAGAACATTAACATATCGCTTCCCCTTCTTCTTCAATGTTTGGGTTTTGTCTTTTTGCTGTTTTAAGCTCGAGAATTAATCAGTGTGAACTACAGGATCTTACAATTTGAAAGCAGAAGGGAATGGAAGCCCTCTGAGGGGGCTATTCTACGAAAAGTAGAATAGTCAAGAACACAAACTCTGGAGTCAGATCTGGGTTAGAATTCTAATCGTCCACCTAGAGCCTTGTAACATTCTCAGGTGCACAGAATTGCACTAAGAATCTTATGTATGTTATCTTATTTAATGCTCCTTCCCCAAAAAAGCTTTAAGGTATTATTACCCTTTGTTTTACACTTGGTGAAAAGTAAGCGACTTACCTAAGGCCACAGAGTTCCTGAGCCTAAGCCCCTAACACCTAGGAGAAACTGCTGCATACCACTCACTCTGACCTTGGGGAAATGTTTTCATCACTCAATTTGCTGAAGATTCTAGTTCTGAAGACTAAGTCAGAGAGATAGTGTTTATAAACTATCTAGTGTTTATAAAGTGCTTAGCACAGTGCCAGAGGGGGCAGACTGCTCAATAAAAAGTTATTATTCTTAAAGTTACTAAATAGTGAGCCTACAGTGAGATGCTTCAAGCAGGAGAACATTTAGTTCCATAAATTACACGTTCTCTGGAAAAGAGCCATTTCCAAGATGTAGGCAGCCAAAGCAAAAGGAGCAAATTATGACCAATATTTATCTTGGATATGGTCTAAATTCTCCGAAAGGGAGTATAATAGATAAGAAATCTCTTGATAGCCTGAAAGCGATGACCATGCTGGAAGTTAGGGGGCGCCATGCTGCTGTACATTTTAGGAAACCACTTCCCCAGAGGGGTCCCCAGCACCCTTGGAGTTTTAGCCAACAAATGGCAGGCAGATAAATTCTAACTGGTGACAACTTCTTTGGCAGGAAGGGGGAAGCCTTTAATATTTCTTCCCACACTCTTCCACAATTTCAACTTTAGGTCCGACATAGAGATTTCTATTTTATTCCCAATGCCTTTGCTTTTTTTTTTTTTTTAAAAAACTTGTTTTTATTTAAGTTCGATGTGCCAATATATAGTGTAACACCCAGTGCTCATCCCATCAAGTGGCAATGCCTTTGCTTTTGCTTCATTTGAGATAAAGGACATTCTTGCATTATTCAGTGACCTTTAAAAGTCCAAGAAGGAAAAGTATTTAATTAGGATGAATGGGTTGACACACATAACGCTAAGAAATACCTAAAAAACAGCTGGTCTAAACCAAACGTGTAAATTGGTGATTGTTGAAAATGGGTCATAGGAGCATAATTCATTCCACTCACCTCTGTACATTATATACGTGTTTGAAATTTTCCATGCTAAGACGTTGCAGATAAATTTTGGAAATAAATGCACAAATTGTGCCTTTTAAAAATTTAGTTTCTACTGAAAACCTGCTCAGTGAATGCAGCAGGAAACTGGGTTTATATCACTACTCTGGGAAGAGGATAGGGTAAGGCACTCAGATGAGGGAAGAGAAGAAGAAAGTTGAATTAATGTGAAACTAATATAAATCACACAGAAATGCACTGCATTTCTACCATGCTTTATTAAGACCCAAGGCCACAAAGCGAGGGAGAATTCTTTATACAAACAAATCAAACTTTTTATCTTCGACTCTTAATAATTGTTGGCTCAAGTCTGGTTTACAGCTGGTTCCAGTTGGCCACGGAATAGCCCAACCTAGAGGTGATTTTTCTAAAGGACAGGAATGAAAAGCTTTGTGCCAAAACAGCTCAAGAAAAGCCAGAAATCTAGGTATGGACAAGAGATGACTTTTCTCCTTTCAATTCAGTCACCTTCTGAAAGGGTTAATTGAGAAGCTATTTGTTCTACCCAGAAGATAATCTATAACTGAAGAATCTTATCTAGAGATCTTTTTCCTTACCCAGACATACAGTGTTTCTCCTCCAGTCTGTGGAGTCAATTTCTAGTCAAAGCTAAATACAAATACTTAACTTTCAAATTTGTGAGTGACGACTTTCTACCAATTAATCCTGACCTCCCTCTGAGCAAATTACATTCCTAGAACGCTGGGGGTAAAATTCTTAGCACCTGAGTTGCAATGAAACTTGCAAAACTGATAAGAAGCCATCTGCTCTTCCAGACTGAGGCAACTAGCACTTCTGTAACACTGAGGCTAGCCCTCCCCCCTCTCCTCCCCCCGCCCCCCCATTCCGGCCCCAGGAGGCAAGGTCATTCAGTGCAAAAACAAAACTAACCAAGACAAATGGCTTTCTAATCACTAAAAATGATAAAAGAGTAAAGCACTTCCATGTCAATCTTGTACAGAGTCCAGGCAGCTGAGTTTTCCCCAAATCAAAATAAAACTTAGAAAGCAGCATTTTCTCCCAAGATTCACTTTATTTGCGTCTGATTAACAAGTGCTTTCAGAGATTCTATTCATGTCCTCCTGGCTTGAAAGGCATATAGCAATGTGTTTCTCCTCTACTCTGTTCCCCCACTCCAATGGGTCCTTTCTACCCACTTTCAGTCTTTCACTTGCCCTTTACTAAAAGCATCCCCTCGGTCTATGAGACAAATGAGACGATAATGGTATGTTTTATCAAAGGGTCGATCTTTAACTGAGAAATGGTATAGATATTGTTAAAGATCGGTGCACCTTTCTTCTCATGCTGGCATGCCCTGCCTCCTGTGTTCAAGTTTTCTACGGCTCTGGGTGCACCTTGACCAGCCTGCAATAAAAGTGCAAATCACTCGGAACTGCCACTGGAGAATGGCCGGGTTAGCACTTGTAGAAAAGGCTGAGTAGCTGGACTATCCCAAAGTAACATACACAGACCAACATGTGGCACCAGGGCTCCCATATTTCTGCCAATCTACCTGTAAACGTTTCCAAGATAAATTACCACCCAGGGAGTCACTTCTGGCTGTGGCGAACAAAAACAGGGTTTCTTTCCAGAGGTACCTGACTGCACTCTCCCCATCACTTAACTGGTTGTTTTGAGTAGATTTCTCCACCAATGGATAGTTCGGAAGGGGAAGGTGGGGGCGTAGGGCTCAGCACCAGGACAGATTTTGCTCGGCCAAGGAGCCCATCTAGCAGTGTGCAACAAGCCAAGGGCAGCAACAAGCCAAGGGCGGCACCCAAAAGTGCAGACCAGCTTTACTCTTTCTCAGGTCAAACTTTGTCACACCTGCCAAACTCCACACACCAAATGTCACCCTGAAAAACATCACAACTGTCTCCAGAATCCTTTAAGAGGAATACCCTCTGAACACAAATGAGGTACAGTACTAGGGGACTTTTAAAGTGGACACATTTAATATCATGAATTCGCACGCGTCTCCCATCATACGCAATGTTTCCAATAACCTGTCCCTCATCTGGACCTTTGAGAACCTCCACGTATTAAAACGAGCCCAAAAAACCACAGCTTGCCCGGCGTGTACCACCCACGAGACCCACTATTTCAGTTAACAGAAGGTCATGGTAATCATACACCTGAGTCCCTTAGCACGGATTTTCGCGGGGAGGCGGGGTGGGGGAGGGGGACCCGGACTGACTTCTTGCTCGTCGGTTAAAAGCTAAAGTTCACTCGCAGCCCAGCGAAGGCCACAGACAACGGGCCCCGAAGGTCCCCAGTCCCCGGGCGCTACGGCGGCGGCGGCGGCGGCGGTGCGGCGGCGGCGGCGGCGGGAGCCCGCGCGTCCTACCTTGGACCTCTCCTTGACGTAGTATTTGCCCAGCCGGCTCCCGCAGTACAGGACGAGCCTGTCGATGAGGGACAGGAGGAAGCTGATGGCCTCGCAGCCCTCCTCGTTGCCCCCGATCCACGTGATCTGGTCGCCCCGCAGGTGCCGCTTAGAGACGCCGGCGCGCGGCCCCGCCAACTGGCCGTCCCGCAGGGCCCCGTTGCAGTGCAGCTGCTTGACGCGTTCCAGGACGCAGTCGCCCACCACCTCGCCGAGGAAGTTGTCCAGGTAGCAGAAGCCGACCTCGTGCAGGCAGGGCACGATGTACTCCAGGGCGATTTTCTCCAGATCCAGCCTCATGATGTGTCCCAGGGGCATCTCGCCCTCAGAGCCACGCTCGGGGATCCCCAGCGTGCACCGAGACCCGCAGCGACCCGCGCGCGCGCGCAGCCGAGGCGCGGGGAGCGTGGCCCGGGGCTCAGCTGCCTGCGGCGGCCACGGCCCCCGAGCCACCGCCGCGCCAGGGACAGGGGAAAGTTGTTCGAAACTCTGGGAGGAGGGACCCCTTCAGGGACCAGGGGGAGTTGCGCGGGGATCCACGACCTAGCGCCCGACTGGCCCAGCGAGGCGTCGGCGGGCCCCTTTTGGAGATGCGGAGCCGCCACTGGTGCCGCGGCGGCCCCAGGCGGGGAGAGGCGGAGGTCCAGCCCCCGAGCCGGCCGACCCGGCGCGTCACGGGCCCCGCCCCCGGCCCCGCCCCGGCCCCGCCCCCAGGCCGCGGCTCCGCCCCGCCCCCGGCCCCGCCCCCGGCCCCGGCCCGGCGCCCACTCCCCGGCTACCGCTGCCCGGCGCCAGCCTCGGTTGTTTGTGACTAAAGGGCTGGAAAACATACGGAATTTTTAGAATGCTACCGATTTGCATATGTTTTGCATAAAAGCCCATAACAAACTTGAAGGATCCCAACTCTGAAAATGTAAATGAAATTAGCACAGTTTACTGCCACGGTCTGGGCTGGTCACCTCTTGAACCGAATTAACAAACTCAGAAACAGATAGGTGTGTTGAGCAGTGATCCAGGTCTAGCTTTACCTGGTGCCTTGCCTTATTCCTCTTTCATCTGCTGTTTGACCCAGGTCAGGAGACTCAAGCCACTCAGAGAGTGGGATAAATCCAGTTTAAACGAAAATTAAACATTTCCCTAACCCTCGTGTCCCCCACCCCCACCCCCCAAAGCCCTGTGTGCTCTCACTGAGGGGGGGGGGGGACGGGAGAGAGGAGGAGGAGATGTGTACAATGAAGAAATGCTGGATATTATCTGATTGAACCCTGAAAATGCTGTATTTTGCTTCGCTGGATGTTTTCATCCACTTCTCTTTCAAGCTTCTTATTAAAATAGGATGTTCTGAACCTCTGCCTTCAGAATTAATCACATGCTCGTGTAACAGCCATGTAAGTATACCCCCCCAAAAGACACACTAAATTCCAGTCTCCAATCTCACCTTTTCTCCAAGAAACTACACTTTACTCAGGAGGGATGGACACCACCTAAAAGACTTTTTTAGTTATTCAAAGGTAAGCTGATTGCTTTATGGGTTTTTCATTCCCTTTCCTACCAAACACCAGAGATTAGAATCAGGGGGAAAAGATTCCTAAATTGCATGCAAAGTCATTTCCATATTTTAAATTTTACATTACATTGCGTTCAGGTTCTTCATTTCAGTTGAACAAAGGAATGAACAAGTTTTACAGGTATCATGTATTTTGTACACAACCCTCCAACAGCCTTTTCATTTTTATTCTCCTTCCAAAATCTCTCCGCTCTGCATGCTAAGGGAGAGATATGAAAGGAAGAGACGAGTGAAATCCAAGCCAAGAATAAAGAGTAGAATAGGAAAGGCGCTGCTGCTACATGATGGAAAGAAGCACTCAGGGGCCCTTGGTGGAGAAAGAACCTGGGGGATGTTCAAGAGGGAGCAGTCAGTAAGAAACCTGTGGTGAAACTTCTATTTTACTGAAAGGAGGTTCTCTGCCAGGATGGTGATTAGCTGGCACTGTTAGCATGACTTTTCAAGAGGAGCTGCACCAACTGGAGTAAAGACTTGGCCAGCCTCAAGGAGCTCTTGTCCGAATTTCCACAGCAGCTTTGTGATGACAGGAGCCCATCATCCTGGGACACACACCCCCCCCCAGCCCCTGGCATCTAATATGTACCTAATAAATAGTTACTTCGAAGCTGGTGTGCAAACCTGAGCTATGGTTATCTCCGTGATGGCTTTGGACATGTCTGGACTTGTCTGAGAGGCTACCAGAAGGGTCTATTTGCTTGAGAATCTGAGGAACCTCCCCAAAGAGAAGCGCTGGAAGAGTCTGGCAGACCAGCCTGGTCCAGAACAAAACTGCAGAGGCCAGTGAAGGAAGCAGTTAGGCATTCTGCAGGGTTATTTGTCTCTTGACTTTGTCTCCCCATCCAGCCATGGGGAGCAGGAGACCTAAAGCGAAAGCTGAAGGACTGACTTCGTTTATGGCAAGGAGGGAAATGGAGATGCCATACCCTTATGCCACTTCTGCTTGTCCCCCCACATAGCCAGGAACTGCTCTGGCCCATTCAGTGATCTCCCCTTGGGGGCATTACAGATAGTGGGGTAACCAGGAGAGATGTGGTCTGAAATGGCCTGAATAGAGGACTTGCTAGGCCATGGCTTGCAGTATTTGCAGCTTTGGGGTCTGTTGTAAACCTTAGAAATAGATATCCCCGAATGAAAAAAGGAGGAAATGACAGATAATCCTTGGTAGCTGGCTGAAATTTTTCTAGCTGAAAATTCTCTGTAGATACACCTGCCACTCGTAGGAATAATTCAGAGGGAATTTATAGAGGGCTGGAGATCTGCAGTAGCAGGTGGGGAAAGTGGCAGTCAGCAAAATACAGAAAATTGTGTACCCATCTCCCAGAATGAGCATATTGACCCAGGACTTTAAATCCCAGGACTGGGCAAATTAGGCTTACTAGGCAAGTAATGTTTCAGTAGTTTTAGAGGAGAGTTGTTACTGGTCTAGAAACTAGAGCAATAGTCTGTAAACAAGTTCTAGTGACTGACAGCCTTAAACCGTTCTAGATTATTTGGTTGCAAGACATGGGCAGTTTAGAAGGGTGCTCAATCCCTTGCCACCCTTCCTGCTCAGCAAGGGCACTGATTAATCAGTCAAGGGCCCCCCCCTCCACTCCACTCCCCCCACTCCCCACCCCGATCCACTTGGAGCTGCCAGCCATGCACTTGGCAAAGGAGCCTGAGACACTGTGGCTGGCAAAAAGCACAGCGTGCGGTTACACAGAGGGGCACGGACAGGCTGGAGCCTAGTGTGCAAGCTCGGAGGCCGAACCTCAGAGTGGCAAACCCCAAGCCGCGTGTTAAAGTACATTTCTTTTCGTTATTTGTCCATTAATTGGTGGCATTATAATAGTATTAAAATATTCTTCATATTAATAATCAAAACAAATTAATTTCCATGTCATTTAATTACAATAATATCATCTTCTAGTGTACATCTGCAGGACAGATGCAGTCATTTTCAAGCATGTGGTTGAGTCAGGAAGAAAGAAGAATGTTGAATTTCTTTGCCTTAGAATGTGAACTGAAAGGGATCCTAGTGGCCACTTTGTCCAACTTCCTTTCCCTACAGATGAGAAAACCAAGGCCCAGAGGGGTTGGACATGAGCTCTGAGGTAAGGAGTCTCTGGTAAGTGGGAGAGGAAGCCTGGAATGCCTCTGTCTTCTCAACTAGAACTAGAACATTCGCCCTCACCCTGCTCATTTTTAAATGAGGTAACATTGACAAAACATAAAATTAACTCATTTAGAGTGAGCAATTCATTGGCATTTTGTACTTTCATATGAGTACAACTACCACCTTTCTCCGGTGCCAAAACCTTTTTCCCACTCCAAACGAAAGCCCTGTACCCACTAAACAGTTATTCCCCAATTCCCACCTCCCCCCAGCCCCTGACAACCACCCATCTGCTTTCAATCTGGATAGTCCCCATAAGTAGAAGCATAAGATATGTGATCTTTTGTGACTGACTTCTTTCACTTGGCATGTTTTCCACGTTCATCCATGTTGCACCATGTATCAGTATTATTTCCTTTTTACGGCTGAATAATACTCCATTGTATGGATATACCACTTGTGTTTATCCATTCATAAGCCAGCAGACTTTTGGGTTGTATCCAGCTTTGGGTTATTTTGAGTAATGCTGCTACAAGTATCCATATGTAAATATTTGAGTACCTGCTTTCTATTCTTTGGGGATATATATCCAGGAGTGGATTTGCTGGGTCATACAGTAATCCTGTGTTTAACTTTCTGAGGAACCACCAAATTATGATCCACAGTAACTGCACCATTTTACAATCCCACCAATAATAGGGGAAAGTGGAAGAGTCCTTTTATATCCCTTTTTGTTTCTTTTCTTCCTTTCTTTCTTTCTTTCTTTCTCTCTCTCTCTCTTTCTTTCTTTTTTTAAGAGAAGGAGAGAGAAGCAGAGGCAGGGGCAGAGGAAGAGAGAGAATCTTAGACACTTGATCTCACAACCCTGAGATCATGTCCTGATCAAGTGTCAGACACTTAACTGACTAAGCCACCCAGGTGCCCTCCTTTTTTATTTCTTTTTTTTTTTAATTTTTATTTATTTTATGATAGTCACATAGAGAGAGAGAAAGAGGCAGAGACATAGGCAGAGGGAGAAGCAGGCTCCATGCACCGGGAGCCCGACGTGGGACTCGATCCGGGGTCTCCAGAATCGCGCCCTGGGCCAAAGGCAGGCGCCAAACCGCTGCGCCACCCAGGGATCCCCTCCTTTTTTATTTCTGATGAACACTGTCTACATTTCTTCTACCTTCTCAGCGTTAGGCTGTGCCTGAGGTTCCCCCTCTCCTAGCTGCTACCCGAATACTCATCTCCTGTCTTTTTGCCATGCCACATCGAGGTCAATCACTACATTGAATAACTTTAATGTGGCCAAGGGCTATCTTATGTGTAACATTTACCACATTCCAGGCACTGTGCTAAAGTGTTAACAAACACTACTTCCATTAATTCTGATGACACCACCAAGGTACTATTATTATTATTATTCCACACTGTGAAGATGATGAAAAGGAGACGTAAGCTAAGGAACTTGTCCCAGTCACACAGTAACAGAGTATAACAACACTGGACAAAATCAGAGAGATTCCAATGTGGTAATATTAGGGGAAAAAATCATTTTGAAGCATTTGCTTGGCATAGCAATGTTTTTCCCTTAAATACTCTTTTTCATTATAACTCTTAATTATAACACTCTCACCTGCAATGACAATTTTAATGATTGGTTCCCGTACTGATATTTGGTGCATAAATTAGTCAACTATAATAAGAGTAATCTTCCAAACGTCCAAACTACAAATTAGGATTTGCTCCTTGCTCCATTCCACCAATTATGGCCCAGTGTTTCCAGGAATCCCACATAAATCCAGTGATATACAGTCTGTTGACAGTAGTCAAGTAGTCCTTCGTAATAAACCACACCTCAGTCTACTGGGTTGCATGGCTTACCCCTCAGGATACAGGAAGTGCATTTAATTTAAATGGAGCTGGTGAGACAAGAGGAGATTTCCTGAAGGGAATTTATGCTACAGCTCACTGCAACGA